GCGCTGGCCCAGCCGCATGCCCAGGGGCACACCCCGGGCACAGAAGGACCCACGTAGGCCTCCGGCACCCTCTCCCCAAATGGCTCCAGGAGTCCGTTCTCTTTAAACTCAGTTATTTTAAAAAATTCTCTTTAAATCATAGTCAAAAAGAAAAACCACCGTCACCTTTGGAAATCTCCTCGCTGGTGTGGCTCAGCAGATTGAGCACCGGCCTGTGAACCAAAAGGAAGCTGGTTCGATTCCCAGTTAGGGCACTGGCCCAGGTTGCAGGCCAGGTCCCCAGTTAGGGGCGCACGATCTCTTACACACTGATGTTTCTCTCCGTCTTTCTCCCTTCCTTGCCTTCTCTCTAAAAGTAAATAAATAAAATCTTTTTTAAAAAGTTGGACTAGATTAGAGTGACGCTTTTGGGTTGAACCAGGACAAGTGGCTGGAGGTGAGGGGGACAGAGCGGGGTTTTCTCCTTGAGATCCGACAGCCAGGACGGCCCAGCGGCTCCCAGGGGAGGTGCTGAGGCCAGAGGGCCTTCTGTGGCTGCTGATGGAGAAAAGAACCCTGAACTGAACGCCTCCCACCTCCTCAGGAGCGGTCGACGGGAATGACGTTGGCCTTGGATCGTGTGAAGGGCACGTGGTGCCACCGTGGCCGGTGCCCCTTCCGTGGGGCAGGCAGTGCCCACTCTTGACGTTCCATGCACATTGTTGGGTTCTTCCACCAGGAAGGCGCAGGCCAGGATTACTTTGTCTCGGGCCCCACAGCCGGGGACAAGCCCCTGATGGGAAGGGTGTCAGCACAGTGCCAGTCCAGAGTCCTTGTGGGACCTGCCTCAGGGAGGGCTCAGGAGGGGCCGGACCCGCCGGCCGGCGGCCTGGACCCGGGCAGGGCTTGTTGCTCCTCAGCCTCTTGCCAGTGCTGGGTGCCAGTGTCTGGAAGAAGGCTGGCCCTGGCCAGCTGAGGGTCCCCCAGTGGCCCTTTCTCCACCCCAGGGTGGCAGCGTGGTGGGCGTGGAGCTGGTCCCTGGCAGATGCTGCCCTGGGCTTCCTGGACATGGGCACTCCCAAGCCCCCGCCTCGAAGCGCGTCTGCGCCCGGGCCCTCCCTGCCGCCCTCGGGCTCCCTGCGCCTGTGAAGGAGGCACTAGTCACCGTGTGCCTCTTTTCCGTGTATCCTACCCACTGTTCTCGTCGTCTACCAGGGTGAATCGGTTCATTCATTCAGTCAACAATTTCTGCATGTCTGCTTTAGGGTGTGGGCACACAGTAGGGGCAGCTGGACAGAGTGACAGCTCAGTAATGGCTGTTAGAAGTTGTCCCTTTGTTCTTCAGCAACTTCGTACTGTGTGTTTGCCACCTGCCCCGTCCAAGGCTAAGCCCTGGGAGGAGAAGGGACTCACGGCATGTGGTCCCAACCCTCGGGAACCTGACATTCTACGGAAGGAGCTGGACATCTCAGGGCTTGATCACACAGCAGTCAGAAACACAGGCAGTCACGAGAGAGGCTGAACAGAGGACAAAGGGCCCTGTATGGCTGTCAGTCTGGGAAGGCTTCCTGGAGGAGCTGGTGCTTGGCTGGATCTTGGAGGTCAGCTGGAAAGAAGGGGCATTACGGGCCGGTGGTGGGAGGTGGGGCTTTGCCCTGCTCAGCAGGGACCTGTGTTCCAAGCCAGAGTTGTAGGACCTCTGTCTACAGTGGCCTTCTTGTTGAGAAGCGTACTGGAGAGCGAACTGGACCGCGAAGGCACCTGGGGCTCGGGCTGCCGATTCTCACCCAGCCTCTCAGAAGCATCTAGTCAAGAACAAAGTGCTGGCTTCGCCCAGACCTAGCGCCATCCCTGGCATCTGCCTGTCTCAGACAGGCTCCATAAACGCAGGGCCGCCTGAGTGTCAGCAGTGGGAACTAACACTGCTGGGTCAGGAGCTGGGAGACTCAGAGGCGTGGCAGCTAGTTCTAAAGGGAAGGGCGCGGGGGGTCAGAGCCAAGACCAATGAGCCAGACCTACAGGAGACGGACAGGGGCTGGACCTGAGGACAAATGGTCCAGCTGTCCTGGGGGCAGTGAGCTCTCTGTCACCAAAGCCAGGGTGATGATGGCACTTGGTGGAGAGGCAGGGGGTGGGGGTGGAAGGAGGTTGAAATAGAATCCCCCCAGTCTGGTATCTTTGGACTGAGGACCCGAGAGGGCCTTGGCCTGTCATTCTGACCAGCTGGGTAGGCCCGGAACCTTGGGGAACTTCCCTTTGCTGTCTAAATCAGGGATCCAGCCTCAGGAGTTAAAACAAAGTGACCAACAATCAAGACTGAGATTAGGAGGCTATTTTCCCCCTTTGAGGACCAGCAGCAGCATTTTGCCAGAATTCGCCCCACTCTCAGCCTTTCTAGTGGCCTGACGTTCGCCTGGACGCAGACGTGCCCCCATGCCCCCCCCACCCGGATTCTGAGAGGAAGGCCCTCCAGTCCTGTGGGAGGTGCACTCCGCCCACTTGAGGGGCGACACCCCACTGCAGAGGGGACACGCCTGCTCCCATTTGCGGACGAGACTCTGACGTCACGGGCAGACGGTGCTGCAGCTGGGACCGAGGGCCGAGCTCCCGACTCTCAGTCTGGTGGTCTTTGCAGACCCCAGACTATGCTGTCCCCTCATCTCTCCACCACCCACTCGGTCTCAGTGAGTGGCTGGAGGTGGGGAAACTGAGTTCTTACTTCTCTCCACGGGAGACTGGACATTCCGCCGCCTCCCCACAGGCTAAGCCCAGTACCAGCTCATCCTCATCCTCAGGAGCTGGTCCTTCTGCCCCGAGGATGGAAAGAGCGAGGCTCCTTGATTATGTGGGGTCCCTGGATTCCTCTGCTCCCGCTGCTCTCCTTGGGGAAAGGGCCCAGGAGCTGCGAGGCCACACTCTCTTGCCAATTAGCTCACATCCTGCGCTCTCTCTGGCCTCAGTTCTCCGTGCCCCCACCCCAGTTAAAACCAGGACTTTGGGCTGGTCCCCACCTACCCTCGGTTTCTATGACCTGGAGCTCCCTCCACTCAGCCCAGTCCCCCCGGCCGTGCAGAGGGGTCTGACCCCAGGCTGGACGCCAGAGGATGCTGCAAGGGTCCTGGAGGTCATGGGATGGGGCCTGGGGAGCGGGGCCGGGGCAGGAGGGGCGGGGGCAGTGTCCTCCCAGACCGGCCTCCGGGAAGTTGCATAACAGAAATGTTTATTTTTGGTGAGGCTGAATGGGATTTCTTCTCTAAAAAAAAACTCCCCAAACATAAAACTTATTTGTTTGCCAGGAAGATAAACATCTTCGCTGAAAGCTCTTGGCCCAGCGGCCGGCTGCAGTTTGCGCGACGGTGTCCCTCGAGGCCTGGCAGCCTGTGTGTGCCTGGGCTCACAGGGGGTCCCGTGGGGTCCCCGCGGGCCGGCCCACCACCCCGGTGGCAGCAGCACTGGTGGTGACGCTCAGAGATGTCCTCCTGAGGTTGCTTCCAGGCTCACGTCCTCCCACCAGCTTTTCTTCAGTGCTTTGGAGAGGGACAGGAGAGTGACAGAGGCAGAGTGTCCCACTCAGCTTCCCCGGCGTGAGGAGGGCCCCCAGTGCACACGGAAAGCCTTTGCGTCCAGAACCTGGGCGGAGCCAGGACACCTGGGCAGAGCCATCCTCCCGACACATCAGGTCGCCTGCTTGGACCTGCTCCCAGAAGAGGAAACTGAGGGTCAGAGTGACCCTCATGCTTGTGATAATCAGAGTCTGTGTGTGTGAAGGGTTGGTCTTGTCAAATGCTCCTCACATGTGTCTCATTAATCTTTTACGTCATCTTACTCTGCGAGAGTCACAGACAAAGGAATGTGGCTCAGAGGGGTGCTCGCACCCGTCACCAAACTCCAGGCCCACGCACTTCCCCCAGTGCAGCCCGTGCTCCTGCGCTCGGCCGCTCCAGGGGGCCTGCTCCGCGGCCAGTCCTCTGCTCCTCAGTCCAGACCGGACACCGGCGGAAACTGAACGCAGCCGCCGCTGTGCCGAGTGTTGGCCTCTGTTACCCCGCAGCCGTCCTGTGAGGGCGCCTGCCGCCCAGGCGTCTTCATCCCCATTTCATAGAGAAAGAGACTGAGACACAAAGAGGTGGAGTGGCCTGTGCAAAGCACACAGCTGGACAGCCCGGCTCCAGAGCCTGCACTTCAACCTCTGAGGCCGTCGTGCCTGCCCAGGGTGGTAACTGGGCTACTGGGAGGTGGACAAGCTTCTCCCTGCCCCACCCTTCCACCTTGGCCTCTGCTTCCTCGTCCTTGACCTCCCTGGGTTGACTGGTCTGTTCCCACTCTGAGCTTCTAAGAATTGGTGGGCGGTGGTGGGAGCCCCACTCTGTCAGGCCTGGGGCTGGGCCTGGAGCTGTGTGTAAATCTACCAGAGACCGCGTGGAGGGGCAGGACACTGCTCGGCCAATAGGGGAGGCCGGTGTGGAGGGCGAGGGATAGGATTTTTGGAGGAGAATCTCCACAACTCCTGCTGAACCCCCGAAAGGACCAGGCCAGGAAAGCAGGGGCACTCCTGTCTGCCTCAGTGCCAGCTGCTCCGCCCCACCCCAAGCCCAGCTGGGCCAGAACGGACTGCCGAGTGAGTCATCCATTCCACCCCCGGAGTCGGAGGCACTGAGTCAGCGTCCTTGCTGCCCAAAGGAGAAGTTCGGGCAAAGGCGACCCTGCTAAAAGGGGGAGACTGGGCTCAGTAGGGTGGGAATTAAAGGTCATCAAGGTCATATGGACTGATCAAAAGTCACATACTATTGGTGCTGAAAGGGGCCCGTTCTGAGATCATGGGAAAGAGGCTCAAAGGAGGAAAGGAACTGGCCCAAGGTCACACGGCAGGGTAACTGACAGCCAAGATCAGAACCCAGGTCTCCTGACCTCACATCCAATGCTCCCCTGACAGGGATGAGGCAGGGGATGGCTCCCCATCCCTCCCTCCTCTGTTGCTGGGTCCAGCCATTGGTCTCTAACCTTCTTTCCTCCCCCCTCAGCCAAAGAGAGCTCCCTGAGTGAGCCTGAGCTGCCGCCCGACTCCGACACCGTGGGGATGGACAGCAGCTACCTTGGTGTGAAGGAGGCTGGGGTGAAGGGGCCCCAGGACCGGGCCAGTGCCGACCTCCCCAGCCCACTGGAGAAGGCCGACTCGGAGAGCAACAAGGGCAAGAAGCGGCGGAACCGAACCACCTTCACCAGCTACCAGCTGGAGGAGCTGGAGAAGGTCTTCCAGAAGACCCACTACCCTGACGTGTATGCACGGGAGCAGCTGGCCATGAGGACGGATCTCACCGAGGCCCGCGTGCAGGTCAGCGAGGGTGTCCAGGCTGGAGGGGGTGAGAGCAGGGCCTGGCTGTGGCCTGGTGGCTGGAGCTGAGACTGCCTGTGTGTTCTGCAACCACCCTCTTCACCCAAAGTCCAAGGAGAGGCCCAGAGGCTGCCAGCCTTCCCCTCGGGCCCCCACTCCAAGTCTGCTTTTATCCGCCTTCACATTGGGCATCTTGCTCTGGGTGGAGCAGGAGTGAAAGAGGCAGGGCTCTTTGGAGGGGTGGAAAGCCTGTTAGCTGCACTTCTGGGCTCTACCCGGTGTCTTGTGAAGGAGAAAATGACTGCTCTCTCCTCTGGAAGGCCTGTCTCTTAGAAAGGAAGCAGGGTAAACTTAAAGACATCCACAGCAGCCCCATGGGCAGAGACGGGGACGATCACTCAGCTCTTCCTTCTGCCCAGGATGGACGCCTGCTCTTCCATCTTTCAGGCCCCAACTCAATAACCGCCTTTAGGAAGTGCTCCTGACCACCATGGCGAATGCAGCACCCCAGCCCCACCCAATTACCCAGCACGACGCAGCCGACAACACCCACCCAGCACAGCTCCGTCCAGTACAACCCAACTCAGTGCAAACCAATATAATGCAACACAGCTCAGCACGATACAACCCAACCCAACTCAACGCAACGCAACTCAGTACAACACCACTCAGCCCAACCCACATTAACACACAACACAACGGACTCCCACACAGCTCAGTGCACTGCAGCTCAGCACAACCCAACACAGCTCATCCCCAACCAACTCAACTCAACATAACTCAACACAATGTAGTACAATGCAACCAAACCTGGTTACCCAGCTACCACCCTTTATCTTCTTTGGAGAATTTATGACTGGGTTACATTATCGTACCTGTCTCCTGCCACTGGAATGTGAGTCCTTGAAGGCAGGGAGTCTGATTGTTCATCCCTGTATTTCCACCAATCAGGGACACTCGAAAGCAGAGCAACAGAGCCAAAAAATAAATATTTGTGGGCCAGTTGACCTCTTTTGTCCAAACAGGGTGTCCCTACCTCCCTGCACGAAATTACACAAAGAAAGAACCAGACAGGAAGCCAAGGCCTCCAAGAAGCCCCCAAACAGGTAACAGAATCACCCATGCGGTCAAGCTCAAGGTTCAGCACAAGATAAATACCATCTCAGCCTGCTTTTCCACCCCCGAGCACGTTAGAATTAGCCAAGTATGGTGTTTTCAGGTAGCAGTTCCCCGCTCCGGTGTGCTAGGGAAATCCACAGTTGAGGAAAAGGGGACTTGTTTTTTTGCCATTGTCACTGTTGTTTTCAAAGCATTTCAGCTCAGCTCAGAGGGACTTCCAGCCCTTCCTTACTCAGCAGACAGCAAGGGCAGAGTTTTTCTAAGGCAGCAATAAAAGGTTCATCAGTCTCTACCATGTCCTGTTTAATAAGAAGAAGCATTTGCAACTTAGGCCAGAGTCATTTTCATCTGCAATGACTAATGTGAAAAGGACTGGCAATTGTCACTCAACACGTGGCCATCCAGAAATGGCCCTGCACCGAAGTGACTCTAGACGGTGGGGCTGTTCACGCAGACGTTGCCGAGGGCAGGCTGGCTGGGTTTTTTGCTGCAGCACCTGGTGAATGTTGGGGAGGGAAGGCAGGGCAGCTGAGGCTTCCCCAGGGTCCCGAAAGCCCTTTCACCCCCACTATCTCATCTGTGTCGGGATAACCAGCCACGCACCCCCTGTGCTCAGACTCTGGACAGGAGCCCCAGAATCCAGCCTCAGCTCAGCCAGTGGATTTGGGAGGAGCTGGAGAAGGGGGCAGCTGCATGTGGGACATTGCTGTTGGTGTGGGATACGCCGGTTCATTTTCTGTGCAGGATGCGTGTGCATGTGTGTGCACGCGTGTGTTCCTAATGAGTGGATGGGAGTGCCCGGGATGGCCCTCTGAGGACCCAACCTGGAAATGGCACTGGGGCACACCTGGCATTTTATAGTCGCCCCCTCCAGCTAAAATAGAGTGTTCTCGCCGCACCCCCACACATTTATGCCTGCCTCCAAAAAGCTGAGGCAACTTATAATTAAAGACTTATTATTTTCATCTAAGAACAAGAACAATTTCATAAAATGAGCAGGTAATTATGTCGAGAGTCTAGGCTAATGATCATAATTGCCGCCGAGCACAGATTTCACCTCGGAGCTTCCCAGCAGCCAAGGCAGAAAGGGAAACCCTGATGTGTCGCGTATGCTATCGTCTAAGGGGTAGTCATAGAATGACAGGATATTAGTGCTGGAAAGGATCGTCTGGTCCTCTCCCTCACGAGGAAGAGCAGCCTGGGATCGGAGACTCAGGCGTGTGACTCTGTGACAGTGCTGAGACTGAGATCTGAGTCCCAGGTTCCACCCCCAGGCTTCTTTTATGTTAGTTTGCTGTTTGAGCGCACGTGCCAGATCGTTCTGAGACTCCTTTGTAAAAAGGCAGCAGGGTGGGTGGCGTGTCTGTGTGCTCAGGCCTCTGGGCAGAGCCTCAGCCTGGTCGTTCCCCAGGGGTGGAGGGTGTGGAGAGGCAGCCTTCTGCCTGCCTCTGCTGGATTTGTTGGGGGCCCGTGACCAGGTGGTGCGAAGCCAGGTGCCCGGTGAAGAGTGGCGGTGGGGACAGGGGGGAGGCGATGGGGGCCTCAAGATGGGCCTTTCCAGGGAAGCAGCCTGGGTCTGGCCCCACCCTGGGGGGGGGCGGCAGGGGCCTCTCTCTGCTGCCTGGGGTTCCAGTCCCCGCAGCTGGTGTCTGAAGACAATAAGACAGAGGCCTTCCCGCCCTGGGCCACCCCGCCCTGGGCCACCCCGCCCTGGCCCCAGATGGGCTGTGGTTAGCAAGACCTCTGCCAAGACCTCTGCCAAGACGGTTGGTTCCTTGGGGAGAGGCCCGTGCCGGAGTGGGCCTGGGAATGGGGTGGGCCTGGGGTGAGACACCCAGAAGGGAAGGCTGGGGCCTCAAGGCCTGCTCTTCTCACGGGGGTGGTACAGTGGGGACAGGCCTGGGACACAGAGCATCTGGGCGGGGGAGCTCTCAGAGCCTCAGGACCCAGGAATGTCGGCATGGGGGGCTCGTGAGGATTCGCCTGCCACCACCCAGTTTACATGCGAGGAGACGGAAGACCAGAGACACGGACTTAGCGTAAGCCCCGATCCCCGCAGAAAAGCTCCAGCCCCGTGCACAGCTTAAGGCCCCGGGAGGAAGGGTCTGCTCCCGTCAGCCTGCTCCCCCACAGCCAGGCCACCTTGCACAGGCTCCACCCTTCGTCCACAGATAAAGGCCTCGGCCTGACCCCAGTCCACTCCCCTCCCAGCGACTTCTCTCTCTGCTGCCTCTCCCCTGCCTGCCCATCGATCTTCCTTGATAACCAGTCTCCCCTCTCCCAACCCCCTCCTCCCCCACACTCAGCTCCAGCCCCCCTCCCCCACATTCCTCCCCCCCCCCCCGCTCTGCCCCTTATCCAGGCTCCTTTAGGAACACAGGCCTCCTCCCTCCTCACTCCGCGTCCCTCCCAGCCCATGCAGGCGCCTTCCCAGCACCTCTCCACCTCTGTGTTCCCACACAGGGACCCAGCCTGAGTCCACAGAGACTCAGGGAAACCCCCGCAGTGGCGGTAACTGAACTTCTCGCCTTCTCCCCACCCCCAAAGAAAGGAAGAAGCCATATATCTTGATGCCTCCAGTGGGCTTCTCCCCTCCCCCGACTCCCCCCACAGCAAACCCTGGGAGGTGGAGGCAGGAGCGGAAAGACTGAGCTAAGCCTGCAGGAAATTAAACATGAAATGAAAACAAGCTCCTCTGATGCGTTCTCTCCTCCCGCCCCCAGCTCCCCATTCCAGGCCACTGATAAAGGGGGATCCCGTTTCAGCAGCGCAGAGAGGAGACCTGATCCGCCCTTGGCTCCCAGCAGGCTCTGGGGCAGGGCTGAGACCCCAAGCCCAGGAGAGGGCCGGTCTCCAGGGAGGACACAGGAAGAATGCTTCTATACCAGAGTCAAGCAGGGGAAATGGAAAAACTCTTGACAGAAATGTTGGCACGCGTGTGGGTGTGTGTACACACTTGTGCACACGCGCACTTGAGCCTGGGGGAAGTGAGGTGCAGCCCCACACTCCCTCCTCATCCCGCCCTCCCCACACTAACCTGACATACGTTCACTCCATCTCTTTTGACCCTTTCTTCTAGCAAAAGACAGTCAGAAAGGGCAGGAGCTGTAAATAAACAAGTGTGAAGTACTCCAAAAACTGTGGCAAAATTTCTCATCTGTCTCACCTGCTGCTCTCTGAGGCACCGCCCCAGTCAGGAGGTCAATACAAGTATCAGCCCATTTTCCAGCTGCAGAAACAGAGGCCAGCGGCAACACGGATGCTCCAGTGGGTGCTCTGCTCCCAGGCTGCACCGGCAGCCCCTGGCCGCCCTGGGGCCCCCGTCCACACCGCGGGCCCAGCTCCTGCTCTCCCCCCACAGGCAGCCCTGGCCCCTCCGTGGGGACCCATTTCTGGGGACGATTCCTCTCACACATAGTTGTACATCCCTGGTCACGAGGGACGGGAAGCGTTTCCATCCGCACGGCAGGGCCTGCCCCGGAGGAGAGCTGGCTTCCTTGGTGCCCAGGCCCAGTGAGAGCCTGACCACACTCCTTATAGCTCGACGGTCTTGGTCCTTGTCTCTGCTCTGTGCTCCCCAAAGCCCCCCAGAGCTCTGGTGTGCTAGGTGGGGTGTGGCCCCTTGTACCTGAGTCAGCTGGCAGGTGCACCTCAAGCCGACGGGACACTCCCTCTTCTAGGGAGCCCAGCCCAGACCATTCCTGGCCTGGAAGCTGATCTCTCTTCACCCCCTCTCCCATGCAGTGATTCCAAGCTGGGGCAGGGGTTCCAGGCCCCGAGGTGAACTCTCGCTCATGAGCCTTGACAACGCTCCCAGCCTGCCAGAAATGAAGGCTCCGGCAAAGGAAATGGACCCTGCCCACCCACCCGAGATTCCAGCCCTCTCACTTGACTCAGAGACCACCCTTCCTGTTAGGGCCCCCGTCAAGCCAACGTTCCATCCACCCATGCTTAGTGGCAGGTGGCCTCCCCTCCTCCTCCTCCACGTCACGCGCTCTCCTGAGTGCAAGTTTGCAGCATCCGTCTGGACCGGCAGCACCGAGGGCAAACCCCTCCGCCTGGCATGCAAGGCCCTCCACCATCCAACTTTGGCTTCCTCTGTGCCTCTCTCCCCGCACTCCCCACCACCGGGCAGGTGTTTCCAGACTCAGGCCTGGACGTTGCTCCCTCCAGCCAACACTCGAGGCCCCGCTCCTGTCCTCCCCTCCAGGAAGCCGTCCCTGACTGCCTCCCTTGCCCACTGAGCCCCTATTCCCCACAGGACTTTTAACACAGGGGTTTCTGAACTGGGAGACTGTTTCCAACCAGAGCGCTGCTGAGAGGGCTCAGGAGGGCGGGGGGTCTGGGCTGCTGGGCCTCAGGGGGCCGCAGGCCTTCCGGAAAACCGTGTGTGTGGTGGTCTCACAGGACGATTTTCTGGAGGAGCATCCACAGCTTCTATCACGCTCTGCACAGGGGGCTGTGGGCCACAGCAGACTCGGCTACACTGTGCTGGGTTTGGTGGGATGGCTGCTGGGTGACCAGTGGCATGTTTCATGGGTGCTCCACCTGCTAGCTCTGGATTCTGAAGCTTAGCAAAACTGAAGCTCCCGGCCAAGATCGCACCCACAGTTAGTTGTGGGGTAAGCTGCCTTCCTGACCCTCTGCGTGGATCATTCTAGACTGTAAGCTCTCAGGGATCAACGCCAAAGCAGCACTCATCTGAGGCCCCAGTGGCCTGCTGGGGTCCAGGGACCCCTTGCACCGCCTGGGGCAAGGCCTCTGGCTCCTCTGATGACTGTTGTCTTGTCCTGTAGGTCTGGTTCCAGAACCGGAGGGCCAAGTGGAGGAAGAGGGAGCGTTTTGGGCAGATGCAGCAGGTTCGAACCCACTTCTCCACGGCCTATGAGCTGCCCCTCCTCACTCGAGCGGAGAACTATGCCCAGGTAAGTAAGTCCCGGCCCCGGGTGCCTGCTTCAACCCCAAGCCCCTTGAACTCTGAAAACCGGCACCTCGGAGAGGGGCCCCGGTCCTCTGAGACGGGACTCGCAGCTTCCGGTGCCTTTCCGGCCCAGCCCGCTGTGTGCCAGCAGGGCCTGGAGCCGTTTCTCTCCCACAGAAGTGTCCACCTGGGCCTGGCTGAGTCCCAGGTCTTCCTCCCCATAAATACTTGGAGGAAAAGGGGGCCCAGAGGAGGAAGCTGGGGAGAGGAGAGGGGTTTCAGCTGCGTGGATGGGAGAGAAGATGTCCAGCCCAGTCCCCACGGCCAAGGGGCACCCTTCACTCCCTGAGGCGTGTGGGTGTTCTGCTGGCTCTGTGCACTTAGCCACTGCTGCTCCTCACCTCCCGAAGCAGCCCCTTGCGTCCTGAGTGGGTTCTGAAGCCTCAGGGGCATCAGCTCCAAGAACCTCAGCCACTGACTTTGGCTTCTAGGAGATACAGGTCCCCACTGCCCCCTCCCAGCCTCTACACCACACCCTACAAGCCCAGAGCCCGTGTACCGACACCGAAGCTCCCCACTTACCCGGCACCTAGGAGGTCCTGGGGAGCAGCCGGAGGTAAGATGCAGTCGCTGACCTTAAGGAGGCCACAGACAGAGAGGCAGAGTCGGCGTCTGTGTCCCACATCGGGAGCTGGCCAGAGGAGGCAGGGGCCGTCCTCGGCGGGTTAGCTGTGCCCCCAGGGGATGCCACACTGAACCACTGACGAGATTTGAAGTTCAGTCCTTAAAACAGAATTTCTGTCTGCTACCAGCCTGGCCCTTGCAGACACCGGGGCCAAAGCATAAAACCCAGGCTCTCCTGGGGGCACCCCGCTGACCTTAAGGTCTGCAGAGGCTCCCAAGTAAATGCCTGGGATCCGCTTCATCCTAACGCCGGGCTCCTAGTGGGGAGAGGTGACTCGGGGTTAGAGAAAGGCCCTGTGTACCCCACCCACCTGTCCTCACCCCAGCCAGCCTGTGACGTCCCTCCTGCCTTCTCCCCAGATTCAGAACCCGTCCTGGATTGGCAACAATGGGGCTGCCTCACCGGTGCCAGCCTGCGTGGTCCCCTGCGACCCGGTGCCAGCCTGCATGTCCCCTCATGCCCATCCCCCTGGTTCTGGGGCCAGCGGTGTCACCGACTTCCTGAGCGTCCCTGGCGCTGGCAGCCACGTGGGCCAGACGCACATGGGCGGCCTGTTTGGGGCAGCGGGCCTGAGCCCAGGCCTCAACGGCTACGAGCTCAGCGGCGAGCCGGACCGCAAGACCTCGAGCATCGCGGCCCTCCGCATGAAAGCCAAGGAGCACAGCGCGGCCATCTCCTGGGCCACATGACAGGGCCCCTCCCGTCCCATCCCTGCCTGCACCCTCCCCCGCCTCGGGGCTCTGGCCGGCCCGTGTTTCCCAGGCCCCCAGCCTCCCACTCGACTTTCCTCTTAGGAACCTGGCCTGGGTGAGGGCCCTGACCCTCAGCACTTTCAACCACCCCCAGTCTGAGGCCCTGTGGACTGCGGGAGGGAGGGGACAGATGGCCCCTGCCCTTCCCTGGCCCCAAGGCTGAGACCCCTGCTCCTGGCCAGAGGCAGCGGAGGAGGCCGGTGGCCGAGTTTTGCAGCTTTGCATCCATTATAAGCTGAAGAGCCTTTCTCCCCACTCCTGCTCCCCCAGCCTGCCTGGTTTGACCATTGAGTCAAGTTTAAATTCCCATCGAGACCCCCAGCAGCAGCTACAGCGCCATCGCATCTGTCCTTCCTACTTCTGTGTGGCCCCCAGTCACCAGGCCCAGGACTGTTTCTGAAGAACAGCCTCCTGCCCTCCCCTCGGAATCTGACCTGCTGGACCCGAGGCACCTGCCTCCCTTCACCCAGGGGGGCAGAGACCCATCCTGCTTGTCCCCTGTGCTGGACACACCCGGAGCGGGTAGGCAGAGGAGGGGGGAGCTGGAGCCCCAGAGCCCAGCTGTCACCCAGTGATGCCGACATCCAGGGGCAAGGGGGACATGTCCCCACGCCCTGGCAGCCCGGAAACTCTGGGTCTGGACGCAGGCCGCCCGGGGGCCCGTGGCGCTGCGGGGAGAGATGTTTCTAGGGCTCCAGGGAGGTGTCCGGGCAGGGGCAGGGGATGGTGCGCACACTTCTGCTCTCCGGCCACCCGACACCGGCGCGGGCGGGGTGACAGCGGCAGCGGGTAGGTCGAGGAAGCTCTGTTCTTCCAGTCGGGCCCCTCCAGGAGCATTTCTCCCTCCCCCTGCCCCATCCTGGCCACTCACTGGGGCTGCTCGGCAGTGTCCTGGTGTGGAAAGACACCTGGGACACACAGCTGGGACCTGGGGGCACAGCGGCAGAGGGTCGAGCGCAGGGTGCGGGATTTGCTGGAAGACGTGTGCTCACGCTCGGCCTCCGGGCCGGTAGGGTGGCCCATGAGCTGCCTCAGACTGCCTTTCCTCATCCGCCATCTCTGGCAGCTGTCATACCTTCCAGAGCCTTCCACAGCGGGCGGGGCCTCCGTGGTCTTTCAGGCACAGGGCGGGCAGAGCCCACCCCACTCTTCGTCCCCAGGGGCTCGGAAGTCTCAGCCCTGCCCTCCGGCCTCTGGAAGGGCCCATGGGGCTGAGCAATCCTGAGTCACTTGCTTGTTCTAGTTGTGGCGGACAGGGTACCTTCTGGAAGCAGGGCTTCCTGCCTGTAAGAAGGGGCCTCCTTCTGGGGCGGATTCCACGTCTGCTTGACTTGGGAGACCTGCGGTTCATTCATTCCCAGCCATCGCCAAAGCTCGTGGCGGCCGGTGCCCGTTGACCAAGCCAGGCCCTGGGAGGTCCCTGGCAGGTGGCCCCAGGGTGGCCCTTTGCCTTTTTTATCCCCTTGATCTTGTCAGTGAGCAGGGCCAGGTCTCTCAGGCCAGGGGGCCTGGACGCAGGACAGCCTTTTGGGTTGGGCGGGCAGGCCTGGGATCCTCTCCCCTGAGCTGCTTGGGGCTCGAGGGAAACTGTGGTCTTCACCTCGGCCCGTGTTCTCGTCAGCTCCAGGAGCAGGGTGGGGACGGGCCGGCTTCGGCTGCCCGGAATCAGAGTCAGGCCTCTCTGTGAACCTTCCCTCTAAAACCGATCTGCTAGAAACGACAGGGGTCTTGGACGTAAATTAGATGTTCTCAAAGGCTTGGCTTTCAGGGTTTCGTTCCTTTGAGGACCTTGGAGTGGCTCTCAGGAAGCCTTTCCCAGTTCTGAGGTTCACTGAGGTAACTCAGACCCCCCAGAACCCAGCCAGGGAAAGGAGGAAGTCGCTGACAGCTGGGAACCGTCCAGTCTCCTCCTCAAATGCTCTGGTGGCTAGAAGGGCCCAGGCCCTGTCACCAGAGGTATGTTCTCACCCAGGAGAGACTCAGGATACGGAAAAAGCCCCGGGGCGGGGAGGTAGATTCTTCTGGGAGGGACCCCTGGCGCTCAGTGCTCTGTGTCTGCTTTCTGGCTGCACTAGACTTAATAAATCAGGCAACTTGGAACCGAAGTGCCTAAGAAGAAAAAGCCTCTGGCAGAAGGAGGCACCGGGGCCCAGTACTGATGGGGCAAAGGTCCCCATTCATCTCCCCACAGGTGCTGCCCCAAGCCCAGGCCTGCCCCACCCTGTCCTGGGGGCACAGGGGGATTACTCTAGTTAGTCCAACCCTTTCATAATGGAGGTGAGAAGACCCTGCCCCCCAGCAGAGAAGTGGCCCCCGCTCTATCTAACTGGAGGCTGACAGAGCGGCTCTGACCACTGTGCTGGCTCTGAGGGCTGCAGCGCCTTCTTGGGTGGCTGGTGCACAGAGCACCCCAGGCCTTGCACCGCACCCAGCAGCTCAGCCCTCCAGCGGAGCACCCCCCTCCTGAGGCTTCTCTCTGGTCCGATCCCGCTGGGCCGCTGGGCCCAGGCCTTCTGTGTGTCAGGGTGGGAGGTGCCCCGAAGCAGCCCCTGTGATGACTAGGCAAGTTTTGGGAGCTTTGCTGGGTCGAGTGGCTTCCTTAGCGGGTCCCCGAGAGCAAATATGTGAGAAGAGGTAAAGATCTCCTTTGGCTACTTGCCTAAGATCTCAACAGAGATGGCTATGCAAACCTGAGGTGCCAGGTAGCGGGCAGACAGATGGGCAGACGGATGGGCAGCCTCCCTGGCACCGAGAGCCCCTCCTCCCTCCTGGGAACGTCTCTGCGGCCAAGGCTTGACCTGTGCTGCTACCAGGCTCACTCAGCTGCTGTCGTCGCTCCCGGGCACTGGAGGAGCGGGCCCTGGGGGCGGGCACATGGGAGGCTTACCCCCGGGTCCTCGGTGGCACTAGCAGGACATGGGCTTTGCGAGTTTCCGGGAGTTCTCTCCGCTATACTTGACCCCCAGCTCTCACTGCCGGGCCCCAGCTTTGGGAAGCACGGTGGCCGGGTTAGTTCCAAGACGCTGCAAGAGGTGCGGGGGCAGAAACTGTGAGGTGGGCCCCAGCACGCACTGCTGTGGCTGCGCTGGGCCCAGCTCCAGTGCCTGCCTGCTCTCATTTCTGCTGGGTGCACAAGAGGGACTTCCCCGTGGAAGCACCGCGTGTGCTGCTTACTCAGCCATTCTTCCCCAGCTGAGTCATGGGGAGACCATCCTGAGAGACACTCTGGGGCTTCTGCTCAGCTTGATGGCCCCGCTGATCAGAGGCAGAGGCCACCGGGCCTCGTGGGGGGAGGATGGCTGGCAAACTGGCCCCCAGGGGTGGTAATACACGACCCTCCAACAGAACAGGGAGGAGACCACACAAACCCCACTTCTCAAGGTCGCACCACCCCACTGCACTTCCGGAAGGATGCTGCCAGGTGGGAAGGCGGTCCGGTGAACACAGCGTTACAGAATCCCACCTGCCCCCCGCCCTCTCACTCACGTACACACAGCTAGGCCTTTATACTACTGATTTTGAAGGACAGTGTCCAGTGTCTCACGGTGTGGGCGTGCAGCGGTCGGAACGAGAGCTGAGTGCCAGAAGGAACATGAACCTCAACCAATACTGACTGTTCTCCTTGTAAGATATTCTAACCTTGTATAAATGCAACTTTTCCTTTAGCTTAATGGCCTGGGGTGGATATTAAAAATATATATTAAAAATACATGAAAATTTCCGGAAAAAATGTATAAAAAAATGAGGTTGGTTCCATAAAGATTTACTGCCTGTACCACCATGTAACTACATTACAGCAAAATATTAATAGAAATGTTCTTGCCTTTGAAGTAAGTTATTGCACTTACATCTTATCGGGGAGGGAAGGGGACATGGAGGAGGAGGGGCCCAGGCATGGGGCCAGGCAGAGAGCAGAAGCAGCCGGACGCCCCCGCCCACCCTTGACCGGGCACAGCCCGAACTGTCTGTTCGGTGGTTGTTTGCAATAAACTCCTTCTCCTTCCTCCTTGCAACTGGAACCTGTCTGTTTTGTTCCTGACTTGTGACAGATGAAATGTGATCAGAGGGGCCTCTGAAATCTCACGTTAATTGAAGTCGGCAAAAAATACTAACAGTGCCCTTTTGAACCGCTGACACAGTACAGGGTGGATTACCAGGGCTCGATTAACAACAGGTGGCCTGCCGAGGCTCCTGCACACAGAGGGGTACGTGGCCTGTGAGGCTCTGGGACGGTCCCCTTGATCCCAGAGGACCAGCCAGAGAGGGCAGGGAGAAGTAGGGCTACCAGAGCCTGCTTGTCAGACAGCAAAATGGGGTCCCAGCAGCAGCTCCTCGGTACCCCCGCATCTCGGGTGTGCCCAGAACAGCCTGGGCCTCCGGGCCCTTGCAGCCGGCGTGGCAGTCCCTCCGTGTCCCTGAGTGCCGGAGCCTGGGTGCTTGGCGTGGAGCGTGGGACAGGCCTCCAGCACGGGCGGGTCTCAGACCTGGCTCTGCCTCTTAGTGGCTGAGAGAACTCGCAGGAGCAACACTCTAAAAACAAAGGATGAAGCAGGGAGGGGCCCGGGTTCTGCTGCAGGAGAGTGCTCTCCTGCTTTCCAGCATGAAGGTGACTCTAGGATGGGGCAAGCAGCCTCCAGGGACCCCTGTGCAGAGAAGAGAGGGGAGTCATCTTCGCTCCCCAAATCTGCCGGGGCTCAGCCCTGCCATCTGAAGGAGGGACGTAAGCCCTGTGCTTGAGGGAGGGTTAAACGAGAACACACACACACACACGGGCTCACGGGCCCACGAATCGGGGGGAAGTCTTGATTTGGCTGGTGGGGCGTGGGTGGGGCGGTTAGTGAGGGTCGCCCCCCCTACACACGCCCGCTCTCACACCCCCAGCAGTGGAGGAGCAGCAGGCCCCACCAACAGCCCGCTCCCCGCTCAGGGCTTACTGCAAACTGTGTACATGCTCCTCCTGTCTACATGCCAGCTGCAGAGACAATGGGTGTGAGAGCTGACATTTTCCCAGGAATTCTGATTCCAAACAGATTTTTTTTTTTAGCTCAACACAGACCAACAGGCTTGAGGGAGGGCCAACTTCCGAAAGGAGCTTCAGTTTACGGCCATGTGCACACCACGTGCTAAGGTGTTGAGCAAACCGGCTGTGGGCCTGCGTGAGGTCCCCCGGGCGCCCTGGCCAGGGCGGGGCCCAGCTGCACAGAGGTTGCCACGTTCCCGCCACGCCCCCTGGGTCTCCTCTTTTGGTTCCCCCACAAACCCCTTCCCCAACCCTTCTCCAGTCCTCTACCCACACTGTACCTCCGTAATTCTGTGGGAAAGGTCTGTGGGAAAGGAGGAGCTCGCTGTTGCTATGCCTTTAAGGCTAAGCTGCACCACGGAGAATGAAAATAAATGAGTGTGTGTGTGCTGGAGCGACCAGGGAAGGGGTAGAGCCCGAGGGAGGATGAAGCACAAAGGCCGCCCACTGCTCCTCTCCAAGATGGGTTTGGCCCGAAAGCTCTGTGCAGGCCTGAGCGTGGAGAAGGCCTGGCCAGGAAGCCACCGTGGAGGTGAGAGACGGAAGACCCAGGCTGAGGAGCTGACTTGGCACGTGTCAGCTTGGTTATTTGAGGCAAGCCACCGAAATTCTAATTTTCGGT